GAATTCATTAAATTTTTATATTTTTAAATTTTTTTAAAATTCCGAATAACAAGTACTGAGCTGATGCTCATACTTTAAATCTTAGAGTGACAAAAGTTTAGGTCTATAACTAAAGCTATTTATCAATTAATAACAAAAGGATAGGAACTGAGCGATTGTATTTATTTTACTTTTTAACGATTCCTTCTCATTGTGGCAGTTACACGGCTTGAATCGAATGGAGAGGACGGGAACTACAGATGTCAGTGTTCGTAAAAGTCTCTGAGAAAGCGTATGTATCATTTCTACATAGAAGTAAACAGCAGTGAGTGAGACAATGTAAGTCGGGTAAGTCCATTAGGGAGACGCAGTAAACGGAGGATTTTCAGACAGTACTTGGGGATGAAGGAAGAGAATGATGGGGAAAAGAGACAAAGAAGTATGGCAATAGATGTGTTACTAGTGAACGGGAACAAAAGACTAGCTAGGGACAAGAAGTAAGAGTCTAAGAGAAAAGACCGGTCTCTGTGGCCAAATCGTGGGAAACCATTCCCTAGACTGATTGAAATCAGCGGGGCCTGTCAAATTTCGAATTCACTTTGATTGTTCCTGACTTTACACTCACGACAGTGGGGACGGAAGACGTGAAAAGACTCCTCCGGTTGCTGAGACTTAGAAAACAAAGACATTCACCCCCTTACCCCTCCATGCCCAGGACCCAAGGAATGGGAGTCCAGGTGTGACTGAGAAGCGTCCTCCAATAGGGGATGCTGTAAAAACAGCTCTGCATAGTTCACCGCTGATATAACCCGTAAACACACTGCTAAGACTAGGGGAGATTAAAAAAAGAAGCTTATTTTCTGGCAGCCTCTCGCTATTCTTTCGTCCAGCCTCATTGTTCTGGCGAAGACGAGGTGTCAGGATGAAGCCAGCGGAGTGGCAGGGGGACAGAGAGAGAACCACTAATAACAACACTTACTGGATTCGAATTTTGCGGTCTATTTGAACAGAACAAGGTAGAAAATATGACTGGATAATCAGCTACTTCTCTAATTGCATACTGTTTTCCATATATATATTAATATAGTANCCAAAAAAATTTTTTATAAAACCATACCATTACGTAAGATAGGGAAGGGGAGAGGGAATCGAAGAAAATATAACGGTTTCTTACACAGGGGTGGGTGGGGGTCTAGAATGGCCGAAATCACACTTACGTAATTTATGGATGGCCCCTAAATATAGATCATTAATTGATGTTAGAAATTATGTTTATTATAATTTAGAAAAATTCTTAAAAAATAAGCTAAACCTGTTATAAATTTCTGATTACAGTCTTAAAAATGTTGATGAATTAATTATTGAATAGGTTAAATAATGAAAAAATCATAATTAATAAACATATGAAATTAATGTCTTTAAATATTAAAAATATGTATCTCAGTATAACGAGAAATAATATTGAAAATTCATTACAGGAAATTCAGGCTCCACATTGGATAATTAAATTGTGTTTGTTAGTAATGAAAAATAATTATTTCCAGTATGATGAAAAGTTCTATAATCAAATTGACAGAATACCAATGGGCACAGGCATAAGCCCATCACTTGCAGAGATCTTTATGATAATTATAGACGAAAAAATTAAGGACATTAAAGGAATAAGATATTATATTAGGAATGTAGACAATTGTATCATTTTATTTCATAGTAGAAAGACAAATGAAGAATTAATTTTACAACCAGCTAACTCAGTAGAGAACACAGTCTGACATCGAAAAAAAATAATTGTATTAATTATTTGGACATAATCATTAAAATAAATGATAATGTTTTAGATTATAAAAAAAATTTATAAAACGTATGCAAATACTAAAGGTGCTCAATTACAAGTCAATGGCCTCTTTGTGCTCTCTGAGCGGTAAGGGGCCTAAAACAACAACGAAAAAAATTACAAATCAAATATACCATAGACCATGAAATTTAATATATTTCAAATGTACATCAATAAAATTAAAAAGTAGGACCAGAAAGTTACAAAATCAAGAAACAAAAATCGAAAAGGTTATAAAAATGTTTTTACTTANATTAATCAACGTCATAATATTCATTTTTATATTACTTTTAATTTTCACACAAGACGCAAAAAACTTTGACAGATCAACTAGTTAGTGCACGTGTAAACAGAAACGTCATACAAAATAAAACAAGAGAGAATAGAGATAAACCACATTTCGTTGCCATATTGATTATTTCTTGGCTAAGGCCAAGAAAATAAACTACACTCTGCAAAAATGTGCTAGGTGCACCTGGGGACTAAATAATAAAGTTTATAAAACTTTATATAATGGGACAATATAACCAATGCTAATTTATGTGGCCTCTGGCTGTGGTCAAGTAACTAGTTAAAATTCAGTAGCAAGTAAATTACTCTCTCTTCAAAGCCAGTTTGACATCAGAATTTCAAAGTGCTGCAGAAATGTTTTTACTAATGCCTCTCTGATACTAGCATAGCTCCTTCCTTTGCCGCTATGTATTGTAGAAAAGGTTCTAAACTATTACATCAGAACTACAAACGTTAAGGCTCAACAACGGTGTCTACTCCCATCTACGGCTATTCATACGCTATCACATTGCAATTACCGTATTATCTCTGATAATCATTCCTTAAACAAGGTTATTTGGTGTCACCCGCTTTCTCAATGGATAGCCACGCAGACATTAATATCTACACAGATGGTTCCAAAAGCTCCCTTCTTGTCGGCTCAAGTATCTGTATCTTCCTGAAAAACTGACATATTTTGCCAAAAATATGTTAGAAGATACAAATACTTCTCACATACCTCCATCTATCGAGCTGAAGATGCTGACTACCAAGCTGTTCAGTAGGTCACTTCACTACCAAACAAAACATTGTTTATCAACATTTACAGCGATTCTCAGTTTGTCCTAAAAGCTCCATTAAATCCCAATTTGAATAGCAATAAAATCGTATATATCCAGCACCATATTTAAAATCTTGTAAATAAGATAACTTTTATATTTGTTCCTGGCCATACTGGCATACTAGGAAATGAAAAAGACGACTTTGAGGCTAAGTTAGCTGCAAAGGACACTGATTTGGACTACACTAGCATCCCTCTCTCACGTAGCAGTTTTAAAAAATATATTCGTTACAACGCTATGCAAAAGTGGAATCAGTAAAAGCAGTTGAGCAGTAAAACTGGTAGAATAACAAGACTATATTTCCTAGTGTTGCATGCAGGTTTTCATCACTACTTATAGATTTAACGTTTGCTACTGCTCAACTACTTACTGACATGGTAATTTTAGAAGCACCTGACGATGTATAACCAGGCAGAAGCTGCCTCTTGCTTTTGCTCTACAGAAAACCTAGACACCGTCGATCCATATGGTCTATCATTGTCCAATTTATGATCAAGATAGACTTATTCTGAAATTAGAAATTTTTTGCTTGGTTTCAAGTGGCCATGTCCACTCGATAAGCTTGTTCAGAAACTACTATTTGATGCTTTTTACAATTATGTTCAAAAACTATGAAAGAAAAGACTATGTATAATTTATAATTTTTAGTTTTACATTTTAGTTTTCATTAAAAGCCAAATACTAATTTTATGTTTAGTTTGTATCATGTATTTTGGTTTATGTATTCTTAGTGTTATACACCCATAGGAGTAGTGCATTTATTTTAATAAAAGAGAGAGAGAGAGAGAAACCACCACACGGCCTTTTTTCCATGACAAAAAATGTGTAGAGCGTGAATCTGTTAGCGTTATCACTCTATCACGTCACACGAGCGTTCTTAATAGAAACGGCCAAATTGAAGCCAAATTCAAAACGCCACCAACTCAACGAGATCAAAAAATAAAAATAAACATATTACGTAAGATGATCTCTATTACCCCTACCTTGAGTAAGAAATCCTAAGAAATCCTTGACCCCACCCACCCCAAAGTACCTTATGTAATTTATGGACGGCCCCTTATCAGGAATTTTGTGTGTTTTCACTCTAATGTTAAATTTCGGTATTCCGCTATTTTCAGTTTTTATTTTTTTAAATTCTTCTTCTGTTATTAAAGTTCGTTTCTTTAAAATTTTCAATTCTTTATTCAAGCAGTTTGACACGCATTTACATGGATCTTTTTCTAATAATTTACATCTTCCTTTTTGTATAATTCTTTCTTCTTTTTTGTCTCCATAATTATTGTTTGATTCGTTTTATCTTCTTGTAGAAATTCTAATTTATTTTCTACTAACATTTTTTTTAACATTATCTAATTGTTCTTTTATAATTTTTTGCTTTATTTAAAGTTTTTTTAAATTAGTTTTTGATTTCGTATAATGTTTTGCATACCTTTTCTTGTTATGTCTCGTTTCACTTCTGGGATTCTTCATAATAGATGTTCGGTAAATCCTGCAAAATCTTCTTTTTTCATTATCGTCAGTCCATTGTAGTTAATTTTTAACTAAATTGTTTTTCCTATTGAGCTTGGTATTTCAATGTCGGTTGTATTTATTATCAACTTTTTCTTCCGTTCTTCTCTTTTTATAAGTGACGAATAACCCATTTTTTAAATTAGTTTTTTATATTTATCTTCAAAAACTTACCACTGTATTTTATTTCTATATTTTCTTTCTTTTTTTCTCAATAATTTCTTAAATTTATAATTCTTAAATTTGATATTAGATGATAAAATTGTCTTATCTTATTTATTCACATCGTGTCTTTGTAGATTCCTGCTTATACTTTCAGGTAGGTAATCTTTGCTCCCTTACATGTTCTTAAATACCCTATTTCGGTTTTGTTTTTCTGATTCAGTTCTCATCCTTGTGTCAATATCCAAAACACCAGTATAAGGTTTAATAACAAGTTGTGCCGAGTAGACAATTAATGATAAATTAGAATTAAGGACTGTAAGGCAACCATATCTGTTTAATTTCGTGTTTTCGTTAATAATTGGTAAAAGAATATATTTTATACTGAAATTATTTTTTTACAGATGTGAAAAGCCAACATTACCATTTCCTCCTGCATTTTTTCAATCACGATTCAAAGAAAATTATGATTTTCAGATTTTCCAAGTGAAGGCAAAGGTATTTTCTTATTTAACAGATATGTTTACAGTTTCTTTTATATAAACTCATCAGTCGGCATTCAAAGAACAGGAGGAAAAAATATCTATTTTAAATCTTCTTTTCTCGCTGTTAATCAGAACTTTTTATTCGTGACTGTTATGGGTTAGATTATGCCCATTAATGTGAACAGACTTTGTAGGATGAGCCATGATATATTTTTCTCAAGCCATAAATGAAAACTAGTTTTCATTTAAACTTGAGTTTCAATTTAGATCAGATTTTCGTGAAGTAACCTTTACGCTTTGAACTATCACATATTTTGCAAAGTTTTTTCACGTCTGTCATTGTTAGTAAGTCTAGTGTGAGATATGCCGAAGGCCAAGGGGTCAATTCCTACTTTTCCTACAATTCCTATAGGGGTCAGTAGGAGTTGCCCAATCTTCGTGTTTGGATGGCTTTAGGAAAGCTATTTCGAGTGGGGATGTCGCGAATAAGTCGACAGGTGTCCAGATTTTCGAATGATAGACGGTTGATAGGTTAACAAATAAACAAAGCATTTATTTAATTAGGCAAGCGACATAGAAATTAGATTAGTCGCTAATTTTTGTGAAAATAGCCTATATTTTTCTTCGTGTACTCGCATTTAATCGCAGTTAACCATATTTAGCGTTATTTACGTTCATGTATTTTAAATTTAGCCGAATCAATTCTATTAATTATAATTAATAGAATTGATTCAACGGAAGATGTGATAAAACTCAGAATTTCAATTTTATTTTACTGATTTATTTGATATTTATCATTTTATAAAATAGTCAAACTAATAGAGCACGGGTTCCCAACCTATGGGTCGCGACCCAGAAGGGGGTCGTGACAGGCTTTCTGTGGGGTCGCCAACTTATACAGTAAACTAAAAAAAATATTTACTATAATGCAATTTTTATTTTTAATGGTATCTTGAAGTTTGAATAATTTCATATACAGTCGATTCCCTTATAACACGGGTTCCTATAGTTCGGGTTCCTATAGCTCGGATTCCTATATCACGGCGAAAAAAATGCGACAGTATTCGTACAAACATGCTAAAAAAACCTCCTATAATTCGGTAAAACGTCATCGCTGACTCGTGTCGCGACAGGATTTCACAAACCGTTGAGTTTGAACGAGCAGCAAATCTACTAAAATCCATTTATTATTTAACGTCCATAATAATTATATTTATATTAACGATGTCTCCAAAGTTCAGCGAATTTTTCGCAAAAAAATGATTTATCAGGAAGCACGTGAGCGCCATTCGACGGCAATCTCCGCGACGAAAACAAGCTTAAGCAACGACGTAGTCAAACGGTGCACATTCGGTAAGTAATCCTACAATTTTTTGTTTATGGCATAGTTTATACGGATTATTCCGAAAAAATTATACGTATTTTGGAAATATTGAGTCGAATTAGTCTAGAATCGATTAATTTTATGGAAGAAACCTTTCAAACAGCCGTAGTCCGAAAACTGCATACGTGCCAGGCTATGATTGGCTAGACTCGTAAGAAATGGATTCATAAAAACAGAAACGTATCTACCGTGTTATAGGGGGGGGTCGACTGTATTTTTAAAAAATTAAAATAAATGTAATCTAGGTACGCTATTCTGTCACAGTTGGTTGAAACATGTGTTGAGAGTTTTGAGAGAAATAAATTAAATGTTGAGAATGACATGAGGTTGGCGTTAACAAAATCTCACCCGCGAATTTTGAGGCTGGTTAATAATACATGCAATTTCAACCATCTCATTAAATTAATTATTAAACATAATTTAAAATAAAATTATACTAAAAAACTACTGGTAATTTTACTGTTTTTTTAATTACCTTATTAAAAATACCTTTTTCAATTGTATCGGGGTCGCGGGTCACTTGGCTTTTATAAAAAGGGGGTCGCCATCCGAAAAAGGTTGGGAACCGTTGCTCTAGGTAAATTTTATAATTTTAACTGAGATAGTAGAGAAATTTTAAATAGGAGTATTTGGGAAAACTTAAAATAATTTGTAGGGAAATTTTAGGTTATTTAGGGATATTTAGAGAAAATCAAGTATTTTAATGAAATTTCTTTTTTCAAATTTCTTCATATATGTATATAAAGAATTTCTGTAAAATTTCTTAAATATTCAAACAATTAAAAAGAAAAACGTTTCTAAGGACTTTAAAAATATGTATATAAATACTAATATATAACGATATTGGTAGAAATATTTTAATTATTTAGACATTTAGATTATAAAAATGTTTAGAAATTATTTAAATTTTAGAAAATATAAATGTAGAGAGAGAAAAAAAAGAGAGCTTTAGGGAAATTATAAAAAATCTTAAGAAAATAATTTGGAAAAATACAGTTTTAGTTAATAATTATTATATTCAGCTAATTCTTAAACTTCATTTCATGTTGCACAAAAGTTAATTAAATTAATATCAAGAGAATTGCATAAATGTTTTTGAGAGTATTTAGGGAATTTAAGGAAAAAAACATTCGTTTATAAAATTCCTTAACAATCATAACAAAGATTCTTAGAAAATTCTTTAAATTGTTCATAATATTTAAATACAGCTTATATAAATGATTTATAAAGTTTTTTTTAGGGAAATAATAGAATTTTTGAGAGTTTCTTTCATAAAGATAAAAATTTAATTTACTTTTATAAAAGCAAATTTTAAAAAATTCTTAATTAATTTTTCTTTCAATGTAACGTTACAATTTATTGGAATTATGTAAGATTTTAATTGTAATATTTTAAATGCATATTTAAAATAAATAATTCGTTCTGAATATCCAATAAACTAATTTAGACTACAAATTAGGAAGATAATTGTTACATTGTACGAAATTTTAGAAGAATTTAGGTAATATTTAGGTTATTTTTAGGAAATTTATAATATAGAAAACGTGTAGAAAAATTTAAGGAGAGGAAGTTACTTGAAGAATTTATGAAAAATTCAAAGATTATTTTGGAAAATTTTGCAACATGTTAGGGATATCTAGGAGTATTAATGAAATATTTGGAAAAGTTTCGAAATATATCCCTGAAAAATTTCAGGGAAATTTTAATTTCCCTTAAATTATATTTAAAAGTAATTTTGGGGAATTTAATTAACAGCTCGTTTTATTTTAGAATGTTTTAGAGTGGATATTTCCCTTACTGAAATTTCCATAAAATTCAAAGAAAATTGTGTAGAATTCACGCAACTCTTTTTAAAACACTTTAAAATGTCTCTTCATGAGCAAATATTTTTAAAAAGCTTCATAAAAATTTTAAATATTGGTTGTTATTTTATATATTTATGAAAATTTTATTTAAATAAATTATATTTTATAGATTTTTATTTTTGTTATACTCTTTTCAAAACTTAGCTTCGATACTTTCCAAGACATAATTTTGCTAGAATTAGGGTTTCTGAAACGGGATTCCGGGATCCCGGGATCCCGGTTGTTTTTTTAACCCGGGAAATATCCCGGGAAATTTTTCTTATCCCGGGAAATCCCGCAAATTTCTTAAAAATTCACTTTTTTTCTTATTTTGTGTTAAGGTTGAGGAGTTTTGCAAATAGAAAGCATAATTAACTCATTCACTGTCAGAATACATTTGTATTTATTAATTTTAAACCTACCTATTAGTTTTTTTAAATTTTTGCTCGTTATAGCATGTCACAAATGGTCAATAATCAATATATAGCTTATTTGTGGCATGACTATAAAAATTCTTTACTTGTCGGAACCTGTAATATCTGGAATAATTGTGCTTACGCTGTCTTGAGTTTTAACCATGCCC